GTTTCGGAGTCTGCTTTTAGTGCATGTAAGAGGGTGGTGTCCGAGGTAGGAGTCGACTGAAAGAAGATATTTTGGAGGCATTGATGTGCGTGAAGGACTGGCATGACGGTCATTTTCGACTGCAAGATAAATATGCGAAAATTGCATCTCGTCAAGTAAGTGATATTTAAGTTAACCATATTCATCAAATTTTTTATTTTATAATACCTTAATAATTTTTAAAAAAATTGTAACATAATAAGTTGTTCTTGTATAATTTTTAACTCTAACTACTCAAAATTGAAGTAGCCGGTTCTAAGTCCGGATAAAGGAGGATGGTTTACTTTAAAACAAAAAAAAAAAAAAATTATCTCAAAAAATCTTTGGAAAAGGTATATTAAAAAAAGATTTATAAAAGGTTTTTTTTTTTGTTTTAAATAAAGTTTATGTTTGGTTTTACCAAAAAAAAAAAAAAAAACTCGCTAGCCAAGCTCGACTCACGAGAAACGAGCTGAGTCGAGTCGGCTCGGCCCATTACCATCAAATGGACTTTCGGAATTTTTGGTTTAGCCAAAGTCCCAAGTGATGAACAAATAGAAATCCTCTTGGATAATTTGCCGAGGGAGCAACCCCATTTTTCACCTTCAATTTGTCAAAATATGTGGAATTTCTTATTTTTCAAATGAAATCTGGAGGGAGAGGGAGAGGGAGCACGTAGTGTAGAATCAATTATACATATGCAAAGACAAAGCCATCGTGCCACTATATAAACGATCCAAAACAAGAAGTTAAACTCCTGATATAAACACATGTTGCATTACTTGAATGTTACCAAATGTAAATAAAAGTTAAACCAATATTAATTATTTGAAAGACCCTTTTTGCATCACATAAATATGAAGATTACATGAAAATGTGAGATCACCATAGACAAAAATTAAATAAATAAATTCGAAGTGTGTGTTTTCGGATAAGTTTGGGTCAATTTTGAGTAGAAACGGCCCGACAAGCAAAGTTCTTAATTCAATTCAACCAAGTTTTTTGGCCAAATTCCTAGTTTAGGAATCTGAAATGCGTTTTTTTCTTTTCTTTTTTTTTTTTTTGGGGTATTTCTTTAGTAAATAATTTTGTTTGTTGCAAATTGATTATGAAGATTAGGGCTTTCGATTTTTATCATTTTCTTGATTTAATTTTCTTCATTATCTTACTTTAAAAAAGGATTGTACATCTTAACGATAATCAACTTTTTTGGAATAAAAATTCGGCGAGAAATTTTCTCCTAACTTTCTCTCTTTCTTGACATTAGTGAGAGAATCAATAAGTTTGAATATTCATATGCAATTTTTGTTCTTTTCCATAAGCTTTCACCATGTCACTTATTCTTATATTCAAACAACTGAAATTATCAAGAATGTTTGTGCAATTGAGGCTAATTAATTAAAACACCTAAATAACTATAGACATGAATGGTGTCTATGGTGCAACAAACTAGAAACATGTTAACACCAGAATGGTGACAAAACCCCCTAATTTACTTCCATCCAATGCAAGTATATACACACAGTTTTTGTATGTATTTGTGTGTTTAAAAACACATATCAATTGATGCACGCCTTGTCCACCTTATTCTCTCTTTACACTTTCCAAAGTTGGACATTCTAAAATAATACTAGACAATAATGGAGTGGGGGTGGTTGTTGGGTGGGGTGACTCCTTTCTGCCCCATTAAAATATTCAAAAGCATCCTATCATATGCAGCTTTCTTTCATGCATGCCATTCTCTTCCAATGGCACCAAGACAAAACAAGAAATTGAAAGAGAGAGAGAGAATGTTGGTTGTTTTTGCATTTATCAAGGTGACAAGAGGGAATGTTTTAGATTTTCTTTTTTAATTTTTACTATCATTGTACTATTATAGTTTCAATCAAAGAATCATAACCTCCTTAGATTATTGCCACTTCTAATGCTTGTCCTTTTTCTTTCCTCTACCCTCCAAACACAAGCTTCCAAGGTTGAAACAACTAAGGAAAAAAGTGTAAGTTGATAGAAAAAAATTAAGCCCATGTTTGATTTGGATAAAAATGAGATTTTTAGCATACATTTTGATAAAAGTTGATCGAATGTATAGTTAAAAATTTTGGATCTCATGAAATCTGTGATTAAAATTTAATTATTGACTTTAATTTAGATTTTTATTTAGCTTTTTAGCATAACCAAACAAAGATTTAGAAGATTTTTATAAAAGTTGATGAAATATTTGATTGAAAAATTGATAAAAGCTGTAGTTTCATGAAATGTGGTTGAAATGAGTTCGAGAAAAACGAATTTTCAAAAACGGGTAAAATTCTTGAGAAGTTGGGGCCAAAAAAAGTTCAAAGTTGATGTGCAAAGAGGGCCTATGTAGGCATTTTGACAGAGCATACCCGACCTATTATTCCTCCAATCGCACCCTTCCATGTGCTAGTTTTAATCTCATTTTGGACTTTTTCTCGTACCCTTTTCTTCTTTACCTCCACTTTGGCGATACACCAAAAACAAAGTACTTCATTAGATTGGCTACTTAACCCTTTCCTCTTGGATTTTATGCTATTCTTGCCGATTCTCCCTTCTCTATCTCATTCCTTCATTTGTAATAAACGATAGCAAAAAGACTATTCTAACCTTGCTGACGCTCTATATATATAGAGAGAGAGAGCCATGCTGGTTAAATCCATATAGAGACATAAGTTTCTTAATTTGTCCGAACAAATGGTTAAGGAAACTGATCGTAGTACTCTTTCCTCCATTGCCTTGTTGCAAGAGAGGTTCAGACAATTGGAAAAAATGAAGGAACTGCGACAGGGGAAAGCGCTCTTAAGAATACTGTCTGAATCCGAAAGCCGTTATGGTTCTCACATCTTGAATTGCGAGCCCGTGAATAAATCGTGTTTTGGCCCAGAACTTTTGATGTTTGCTCCCAAGCCGGATTGCCAACTTTCTCTTTCCCTTTTTCCGGATACGGTACAGATCAAGTCATCGAGTTTCCGGGAAGTCGAGGTCCCACGTGGCACCATTTCATGGTTCGTTGACACGCCCTCGACTTGTTCTTCGTCGATCAAAATTGAGAATTTCGACTCTGATATTGATACTTCTCTCCATCTGTAAAAGAACATCAGCTTTTGATTCTATGGAAATTTTGAGCACTTCAACATAGATATTTTTAGCGTACGTAGAGTTTATTGTATGAAACTGCATCACTTTTGTTTCATGATCATCAATCTTGTA